AATATTTTAAATTTTCTACGAAGGTTCTCTGGTGTACTTCAATATATTATATCCTTGAAAATTTTCTCAATAAAGAAAATTAAAAACAGTGCGCAAAACAGTCAAGTTCACTGACCCATTTTCATATGAATATAATTGCCATCTGCCTCATCATTCACTACCTCGTGAGAGCTAGAATGATTGAGAGGTAAACGAGTCACTGACAGCCGAGCACTCAGTCAGTAGCTCAGTCAGCACGTTTATTCTTGCGTGATTGTACCCAATACTTGTTTTGAATAACTGAGCGTACATTTTCCATGGAAAAATGCCTAAATTACATGCTGTGTGAGTCGCCTGTTCGTGAGTGACTGAATGTTTTGTTGGTTCTTTCATTGCCTTGTCCTTTACCGTTTGGTACAAACGGTCTGCACAGACCAATGGGTTGAATAGTGCAGTGAAAGTCACACTCAGCCTAAGCAGTCAATAATTTTACGCTCTGATTAAAAATTCCCTGAGAATTCCAGGTTTTTCAGGTAAAATCAAATTCCCTGAAGATTCCAGGTTCTCCAGGATTTTACAGGTATTGCCAGGTAGTAGACACCAGGCATCGAAAAATCTCAATTAATAACTGGGGAAGTGCATCTATAAAATACTAAGTTGAGAGCACCCAATAAGCTAATATGCGATGAGCAATAAGCTTGAAATGCGAAGTAGAATAATAATAATAAGAAGAAACCCTGGCCTCTGAACACTGTTCATGTAATTTGAGTATCAATTAAATGGCCTCGACAAGTAGAAGATGAGATGAGTGATCAGAATGCATAAGGACAGCATCAGGGTAGCCAAATACGTATCTGAAACCATACAATATATATATATATATGAATACAATGGGCTCAACCAGTGCTGTTAATTTTTATATCATTCGATTGAAGATGAACCAATACAACCATTCAATCAATTCTGTGAAAACAAATTCTCACATGACCATCATTTGAAGAGCCCCTTTCTCATTCTAAGCTCATCGTCACTGTCAATTGAGCCAGTCACTATCATTTGATAAACGACAGTGGAGTATGGAATAAACCCAGCAAAATTGTCCCGAACAGACAAGTCGACCCGATGTCGGATCAATGTCAAGCAAATTTATGGTCGATGTCGAAACAATGTCGTGTTGTTGTCGGGTCAATTTTGGGTTTATGTCGGGTCAAAATCGAGCTGGAGTTTGTTAGAACTCAGATTGGTGTCGGGTTGGTTTAGCTTTTTCACCGGAATGTCGACTCCGTTTATGTGTAGGTTACACTCAATCAGTGTTCGGAAAAACTCAAAAACTCAAATCTTATGCAGGAGTTTATGCGCCTATGAGTTTTGCCTGCCAAAATTCAACGTCGCAAACATCACCGCTGAGTTTTCAGGTTCAAAAATTAATTTCTCTATAGGTCGGCGCTATTAATTGTTATTACTTTTGTTTGTGCAGCAGGGGTTGGAAAACTAATACAACATGCATAAGCATGCTATCAATTGACGTCTGAGTGGTTTTTATGAGTTTAAAGCTGGAATGATTTTTCGTCGTTGTGCGTGAATATGCATAAGAATCTCAAGAATTTTGCTTGCCACATTCGCACGCGAGTTTATTCTCGCAGGGAGACTCAATGAATGAGATTTGATAGTGATTTTCCGAACACTGCACTCAATTGAATGATATCAAGCGTTTCTCAAATGAGAATGATCCATGCCTTCGTCAAATGACTAAGCAACTGATATCGCCTATTCGAAGGAGGTCCCTTTTGATTTTGAGAATTTACAGCACTGGTCTCAACAAGTAGAAGCCGAAACTCGATGTCTGCGCCATTTTGAAATCGAAGATGGTGGATCCAGATGGAACCCTCCGGATAGCTTACAACGCTCCGCTTTAATCCTGCACAAAGAAGAAGAAAGTTGAGGAGCGCATGCAGTTCACTGTGCAAGTTTCGTTTTCTCTCCTCTATAATACTTTTACTCATTAAGTCGACGAGCATCATGTGTAAGGATGGGTACAGGTAAGAGAGGTTATGCTTCTCTTGGAGTAGGCTGGTTGAAATCACCACATTGTGCACTACCCAAGAGGAAATAACATCCCTGCCACTAGTCCGAAAATAATAATAACTGATTTTCATTCTTTCAATCATGAGAAGCTCTTCATCCGACTTGGGAAATCTTACGGAATATCAGAATGTTAATTGAAAATCATAATTTAATAATTTTAGGAGATTGTTTTTTACAAAGCAATCTTTTAATCATGTCAAACCCCTTAACGGAATCCCTTTAAGAAGAGCTTTTTGAGTGTGATGATTTATTTCCTTTTAATTCCATGACAATTGCTTATCTTTTGGCAGATACGCGTATTTCGTTGCAGACTTCATCAGTGCTAAGTGACGTTGAGTACTTGACACTAATGAAGTCTGCAAGCAGTAGACTAAATACGCGTATCTGTTAAAAGATAAGCAATTAAAACGGGATTAAAATGAAATAAATCAACACACTCAAAAAGCTCTTTATATTAAGCAGCTCCACACAAAAAATATTACAAACCTAAATATCTCAAAATGTTAGATTATACACATTATTTTTTTTAAACGTCATGAGAAATGCAAATTCTGGACCCTTAAAAATTGACATAAATCGTAGAATAAAAACTTTCGGTCTAATTTTAGAAATTTTTTAAAAAAAGATTTTCTTACTCAGAAAACAATTTTTGAGACATTTTTTTTTTTTGTGAAAAATACACAAAAAAGTGTACTAACAAAAAGTTCAAAAATTTCACCAAAAGTTCTTGTTCTACGATGTTTCTCAATTTTTAAGTGTCCATTGCTTTGAGCATTCCAAAAATTTGCATTTTGCAATCCTTTTTTCTTAGGCAAAATTTTTTAAGAAATTGGGGTTTAAATTTTTTTTATTAAATTTTGACTTTAAAAAAATTAAAAAAAAATATTTTTCCCAGAAAGGCATAATTTTGCTCTACTTCTTTGTCTCAGGCACCACTTCGATCAAAGAACTGGTTTACGAGCTATAATTTTTATTTAAATTTCACGGACGCCGTTTTGAAAAATTTACAAGATCCCAAATGGCCGAATTTGAGCAAAAATGAGATTCATTGCCCATAACAAACAAGTACGCATACAAGTCGGAGAAGGTCGATTCAAAATCTATTTTTTTCACTTTTTCGCCTGGAACTGCTCTATTGTGAATGAAGTTTACATTTAAGACCAAGCTAATATGCTCATTACAGCTAAAATGCTATTTTTCGAATCTATGAAGTTATGCAATATTTTAATGATAATTCTTATTTACAAGATGCAAAAAGAGAAGGTAAAGTGTTTGTATGATACATAAAACCTGTCAATTTAGCTTTCAGAGGGTCACAATAGCGATTAGCTGTAACGATGAGCAACGCGATGAGCGAGCAATCAGCGATCGTAAAATCGCTAGTAGTAACCTTCTGAAAGCAAAAGTAACAAATTGTCTATGTCACACACAAACTTTATCACCCATTCTTGCTTCTTACAAATAAAAATTATCATTATAGTATCTCATATTTTCATAATTCCGAAAAATATCATTTAGCTGTAATGAGAAATTGCACGGCTGTTTAAGACTTTGAGATTCCAAAATAGTTTTTGAGCAAATTTGCAAGCATATGTTTGAATGTTTGAATCGAATTTACTAGATTTTTTTCATGTTTATTAAGAGCAGTTCTTTTCAGAGCTTTGAAACATTACTTTAAGTATTTGAAACTTTGATGAGAAATCAGAATCTACTCCTCATGAATGTAGACGTGATGTAGTCTAGTATTAGTAGAAGATACTGAAGAAGTCTACACATTGTAGACAAAATACGCGTATCTGTCAAGGATGAGCAAGTAAGGTAGTGGAAATCACTAATCCCTCCCTCTTTCTTTATACAGCATCTATTATTTTTAGAAGCTATTTAACCATTTCAGAAATTGTTTACAGTGTAACAAATACTGACTAGTTTCAAACGATTCAGGCTTTGTAATGTTTACGTAAATGTCATACGGGGTAGTGTCATTCGGGCAAATGTTGTAGATTCTTTGAGTTGTAAACACGCGATTATAAACTTCAACTATAATATGCAAAGAGGCAACATGTCATTAAGCAAGGCGACGCTAAAGTTCCAACGTATTTTCATGTAAATACAGAAATATTGTTAAATTTTGTTCTAGTTTGAACGCCTGTCTGTAGTCTATAATAATTATGTCATATAATTTGAATTTCTATTAACCAAAACAGAGATCGAATTTCACAATTTGTCAAACTTTTGTCTTCCACTGGTGTAGCTTTAGAAAGTTACGAAAGTTTACTAGAACGAAAAATAATAAGCATTCTCTACCCTGAAATTTCGCTTTAACACCGGTCAACAAAAAATATAACCATCAGTTGGATCAAAAAAGACTGCATTGGTAATAAATAAACCATAAAGCATTTAACGTTACGTCTGCATAAGTAAATTTCTCACGAGCTACAAAATTAACATAAAAGAAAATTGAATTTCCTATTCCTTTCCAATGAGAACAGTTCAAATACTGCTATTTTTCTGCAAATGACAAATGTTATAAAGGTATCAAAAGAGCAAATAAAATGAACGATATTTACATTAGAAACTACGAAGCCGTCACACATCGAATGTCGATAAGTATTAGAAAATAAAAAAAAAACTTTATCCAAACCGAAAAGAAAATCGTAAAAATTAATAAACCAAAAAATCTAAAAAAAAAAAAACTGAAAAATGTCAAAACAATGAACGATGATTTCAATTATGGTAGTGGTGATAGCAAAATATGAAGATTATGATGGTAAATTATGGTGGTGATGGTGTTGTCTACCGATATGTCAATATAGATAAATATATAGAAATAGAGAGACAGAGAGAGTATGTGAGAACTAAATTGTTGAGTAACGAAAACAAAACCAAACGAGAGAATGGGGGCACTCGCGGAGGCCTATCACATCTCCAAGCAATACCTTTGACGGAGGGGATCGGTTGTGGCGGCGCTGTTGGTACTACTGTCGGCCGACGGTCCCGGGCTCGATACGGATGCACTCTTCACGTGACCTTTGCCACTGCCCGCTCCGGCCGAGCTGCCACGGGTGAATTCCGGTATCGGACCAATGAAGCTGTGGTTTGTTTGTGTTTGTTGATCATGCATGGGTGTTAGTTTTGATGTTGTTTTTATTGTTTTTGTTTTGGTGCATTTGTCAATTTCGGTTGAGCGTGGCAAAGTTCGTGAATCAGAGCGACATCATTCGAGGTGCGGTTCGAATCGAAGGGAGGTGGTGGTTTTACGCGGTTTATGTTTTTTGTTTGTTTTGGGTTTTGAGGTTAGGGTTATTTTTTCGTAAGAGAAAAAGAGATAAAAAGGGGAGAGAAAAAAGAGAAAATCGGTTGGAAAATTTGGTCTTCATTAGTATACATCGTAGTTCGTGATGGTTAATAAGTTTTCTTCTATTGATAAATCAAAACGGCAACATTAGAAACATTGGGCAAATGTTAAAACAAACAAAATGCTAATTAGTAAAACAAATGCAAATTGTGTGACATATTAGTCTGAAAGGCTTATAAAAGGGAACGAATAACAGCAATCGATGAATAAATCATGGAGAAAACGATGAAAGATCTACTCTTTGTACAGCGCAAAAAAGGGCAACGGAAATCCAACAGAAAAATGACACACATTATCCTTTAATAAGTTGATCTGGTACCCATCAAATTGAGGCTCCCTAGTTGATTTGTAGATTTAAATCAAAAGAGCTGGACAGATTAGGGGTGGAAACCTCAATTGTGTCGGATGTGAAACTATTCTATTTTCGGAAGTTATCAATTTACGGAAAATTGTTCTGCATGAGAAAATACTAACGGAAAGCTATTCAAAATGCAAAAAGAAAATCGCAAACTTGTGAAATGAACGCAAAGAGCCTCGAAATTCGTCGAACTGGTTGATTTAACTGAGATCAATGGAACAAAGAAAAAGAACTTCCCTAGCACAATGTATGGGCAATGACGTACGATATGCGTGTTATTTGACTTAACGCTAAAATGTGGCAGATGAGAGAGCGGTTGGCCTAGCGCCTAGCAAAATCTCAGGATAAACTAGGCCTGAAATACTCCAGCATGGGGAAAGGAATACGTACGTGGAATCCGTGGTGGCGTTTGTCTTTTCCGTCGAGGATGTCTTCTCGTATAGCGTCGTGGACCGTCTCGGCATCAGGCCGGCACTGGGACCGACCGTTCGGTTACCGTTGCTCGGGTCGAACTTCCCGGTGGTCGTACTGGTGGTACGGGGCTTCGCCGGGCTGGAGATCGATGCTGGTGGTGGATTAAGGTTAAGAGGTTAGATGGATGTTTTTTTTAAATGAATTTGGGTTTTGTTTAACCCCAATATATGAAATGCAGACGCTCTCCCCTGCTCAATTCAACTGATTAATGGCATGACTTAATATTTTAATACAGAATGTAGAATTTCTTTCTTAGAAGGTGTTGATATTTAACGAAATATTTCCCGAAGTATTTTCTTCTTTATGTACTTTGATTAAAATGGGAATGTTTCCTTCTTTAAATATTTAAATAATGATGTAAATATTTGCTTTATATTAAATATGTAATAAAGAAAACACAAATTTAATGAAGGGTTATAATTTCCGAAACTATAATAAATAATGCTATGTTTATCTCTCTTTATATGCTACATAGAGGGAAAATTCACTGCCATTGCTATAATCAAATAGTTAGTTAGTTGTCTTTATTTAGGAGACTCAATAATCAAATAGCCACAGACAATCAAACATAACGCATTGAATATTATTCACTGTAAAACACTGTTAACTTCTACCGTCATGGGCAGTACGCTCAACAGTTGACGGTAGGGTGTAAACGTCAAATGCAAGGGAATTAATCATGAGCGCCACAGGCGGTGGCACTATTAGAGGAAAGTGGGGCAGTTTGACCACAAATTGAATATTAAAGTAAACGTTTGAATCTTATGCAAGAAGACTTAAAAATGTTCGTTTTGTAACCGAAATTAAACTGTTGGGGTAAAATGAGCACCCTGTCGGGGTGGTATGAGCGACCTTGTAAACAACGGTTAAGAATAGACGCATTTCGCGCCAAATCGAATCGAAGCTGGCAGCACCCTCTCAGATTTCAATAAAATTTTCTGGATGTGTAGACTTTGACTAAATAAGCACTTTTGCATACTCAGTTTTTCCAAAATTTATCTAGACTAACATTTGAGAAGGGCCAAACTTTTTCTGCCGATTTTTTTTTTAAATATTATGGAAAAATGACAACTCCAACAAAAATATGTTGTATGAATGACTTTTAGGAAATTGACCAAAAAAATTCTGAAAAAAATTTCATTTGAGACCTACACTAAAATTTAAAGTCGATTTAAAAAAAGGTCATGTTTGATTTGGATGAAAGTTTGCCTCAAGATAGGTAATTATGTTTACTACCATCCGTCCATACATTGCGAGATGGGCACTTTGAGGGAAAAAAAAGTTTTTCTTACAAAAACTTTTGCATGTCTGAACTGATTTTTCAACGTACCATTTTTACACAAAACCAAACCAATGAAGCTCAAAATCATCTCAGAACCCAATGAAGCTCCATTTGTGATTCAATTTTGTCTAATCAGAACTTAAGTTCACTTTGATTAATCGAGAATTTCATATGAAAAGGGCTCATGATGCATTTCTCGCCAAATCGTATTTGGAATTGGCAGCACCCTCTCATAGTTCAATAAAACTATTTGGACATGTAGACCTTGTCAAAAAAATATCATTCCCTTATTCTGTTGTCTACTACTGATGCAAAATTTGATAATATGTGAGAGAAAAAAGACAAAAAATTTCATAAAGGGGAATTTACGTATTCTCGACCTTCTTTCTATAGCCTTTTTCTCTAAGGAACGCACACATATGCAGTATTGGTTTGTTTACAATCTTTTGCTGCCAGCTGCTCTAACAATTTCAGTCGAAAGAATTGTCAAAAACTGTTTTAAAACGCATTTACAAAGCTCCAATCTTCTCTAGTGAGTATTGTCGGCAACCAGTTTTTCTTCGGCAACCGTTCCATTTGAACTGCATGTAAATCTGCTGTTCTATTATCGGCAACTCGAAATCAGCTACAATTTGTACTGCGTGTGTTGTATTTCAAGAAAACCTTGCTAGATTGCTTTTTCTCAGTGGTAAAAATATAGTCAAATTGAAGCTGAAAGCATAAATAATCGTTTGCATGCATTCAGCGAAGTGTTTTCGTAAGAAAATCCATTGAAAATAGTGTTTCAATTTGTGTTGCCGAAAATAGTCTGTCATGCCGAAGCCGTCATTTCCCCTATCATTTATTTATATATTTTCAATGTTTTAAACCTATTTTCATACATGCTATTTTTTCCTTTTTCCAATCAAGTTAAATATTTTTGGTTCATCTTCTGAATTAGAATACCTTTTTGCCGCTACTTTGTCACCAGTTATAGGCACAAAACTGTGGAATTTCTGTATGCCAGATATTGTCTTTGTGCTGTTATATAGTTCTATGGTTTTTTTACTAGTACACATGGCGGAAGTTCTGTGAACTTGCCGGAAGATCTATGAACAAGTCGGAAGTTCTTTAAACTTGGTGAAAAATGTGTGGGACTTGCGGAAAGTTCTGCAAACTGGACAGAAGTTATGGAAACTTGACGGAACTTATTGAACTTGTCGGAAGTTCTGTGGAATTGTAGGGAATTATGAGAACTTCCCTGAAGTCAGGTTTAATTCTGGAGATTTCGGCTGTCTAATGATTCAAACCATGACTCTCAGATATTCTCTTAAATTCTCAGGTTGATGATAAATTATTATTGCAATTCAGTCGATCAAAAATCTCCATAGAATCCTTTAGAATTTTTTGCAAGACATCACGTTGATCAGGTATTATACTGAAGATCCAACTGAAGTTCTTCAACTGTCCAACAATTCAAGACACGTTTCTCTAGCGGCACTGGTGGCGTGATTGCCTCTCACCCCCAAAAGGTCTGGGTTCAATCCTAGTCGGCGCCGCCGGGATTTTCTGAGGCATAAAACCTCTGATCACGCCTTCCTTCAGAAGGGAAGTAAAGCCGTTGGTCCCCGGTTCTTTAGTTGATGGGTTGATAGGTAGGGGTCAGGTGTGGGAGCTGCCGTCCTGGCTTAGGTAACAAATTATGTCTCCCGGATACTGTCCAACAATTCAAATCATGTCTCCCGCATTTTCTCTCAAGATATTATTTTCGTCAGAAAATATTCCAAAGATCTTCAATTGATCAAAGATCTTCAAAAAAACCTATGGATATTTTTTTAAGACTTCAGGTTGATCATTTATTGCTCTGAGGATCTCCAACAATCCAACAATTCAAATCATGTCTCCGGGGAATATTATCTCAATATATCAGCTTTATCAGAAATTATTCTTAAGAACCTTCAGTTAAAAAAAAAAACATCTCCATAAGATCCTTTGAATAGTTTTGAAGACTTCGGGTTGATCAGGTATTATTCTCTCCATTTGTCCAATAATTCGAGTCACGACTTTAAGATTTCAGATTGACCAGCAATTACCCCTGTGGAGTATTCTACTCTAGTCACTTTGTAGTTTCTGATTTAAAAAATAATCGACTACACTTGTTGATGGTTTATCGGCGATTGCTTTTGTTACTCAAATTTAACTAAGCCTAAACTGGAGGTATTTGAAGTCATTATGTGGTTTGCTAGCCAATCAGCGATCGATACATAGATCGACCAAGAGAAGGAGATAAATAGTCGAAAGATAAACCGCGCTGCGACTTTCTCACGTTGCATATTGCATGGTGACAACGCCGCATTGGCTTGATAATTGGATCCTTTCCTAGGAAATTGATTATGCAGTACCTCGAGACTTATTGTAGGGTCGATGATTGACGACGGTTAGGGAATTTTGACTTAGCAGGTCGCAACAAATGCGATCTTCTGGAAATGAACAGCAAACGATGGCGTCTGTTATGCAGATGCCACATTCCAAAGGCCCTCAGATGATCAAACATCTCCATAAAGTTTGACCAATAATTATTCCAAAGGCTTTTAGTTTATCAAAGATCTCCATAAAACCCTTTGGATATTTTTTTTCATGAGTTCAGGTTATTCAGGTATTGATCTGAAGTTCTTCGGCTGTCCAACAATTCAAGTTACGTCTGTCAGACATTTTTTTTTAATATATCAAGTTTATCAGGAAATATTTCAAAGAACTTTAGTATATTCAGTATTTCCATAAAGTTCTTAAAATATGTTTTCAAGACTTCAGGTTGATCAAGCATTATTCTGAAGATCTCCAACATTCCATCATTACAAAATATGTCTCCCGGATATTCTCTTTGTTTTTATGGAAAAGCTTGAAAGATATCTCAAGATATCAGGTTCATCAAATCTTATTTCAAAGACTTCCACTCCAGTTGAACAAAGATTATGCTTAAGATCTCCAGCTATTCATGTCTCCCGGATTTTCTCTCAAGATAATTAAGTTCATCAGAAATTATTCCAAAGGTCTTCGGTTGATCAAAAGTCTTCATAAACGCCTATGTATATTTTTTTAAGACTTCAAATTGATCAAGTATTGCTCTGAAGATCTCCAACTGTCCAACAATTCAAATCAGAAGATACCAGGGCGATCAAGAATTATTACAAAACTTTCAGTTGATGAAAGATCTTCTTAACCTTCCTAAAATATGGAATTGAACATTGTGATGTAAAAAAAAGCATTCAGCGACCACTAGGGGTGGCGCTACAAAAAAGTGACACATTGTGCATTAGGGTCTAAAAAGACCCAGACTGCAACTCGCTCCAAAAAATCCATTTTTGAAACGATTCTTGATCTATTGACCTCAAAAGAAAGAAAAAGGTTTCCAGAATGACACCACGCCCAGCACTTTTCCAATTTGGCAATTAATGCTACTTGGCGCCGGTTCCGCTATTGCACAAATGGATACTTCCAAAATCTCATGTACTTCTACCGTCCGACGGCTCCAAATTTATGATTTTTCAGAGACAACAGAACGGTTTCTGGTTGTTGATGATCTGGAATGCCCGTTGGAAATGGCCAATTTATTTTTGCTTTAGAAACCTATCGTGTGACAAATAAAACATAGGGGAAATGGATGTAATTTCGGTCTAAATGCCCCTAATTTGAGCCCATGCATAAATTCAGCAATCTACTACATTTTCAATAGCGACCAAAAATATCCATTAGTACCGTCCCAATGACGCGTTCATCTTGATAAAATTGATAAAAAGTGGATTTTAGCGATGGGCCCAACCTTAGATCCA